CTGACCTAGGCCCTCTACATATATATGTTACAGTTGTGTAGCTTGGGCTTCCTGTGGGACTCCTAACTGTGGGAGCAGGAGCTGTCTCTGACTCTTTTACCAGCTTTTAGGACTCTATTTTTCATACTGGGTTACCTTGTCCAGTCTTAATACAAAGGGAGGTACCTATCATTCAGAGACCAAAGAAGCTAAGTAGCAACTTGATATGCTATATTTGGTTGATATCCATGGGAGACCTGTCCTTTTCTAAACAGAGGCGTGGATGGCAGAGGAGAAGTGGGGGAGGAGGAGAGACTGGGGGAGAGGAGGGAGAGGAAATTGAGTAGGGATGTAAAAAATACAAATAAAACCATTTTAAAATTTAAGTTGTCATTAATATAAACTAATTTGTTTAATCTAAGATGTTAGCTGTAATTCTTAATTCCTAATGATATTCCTCTATTGTCATCAGAGAAGCACTGTTCAACAACTGATGGGAACAGATGCAGAGACCCACAGCAAAACACTAGGTGAAGCCAGGGAAACCCTACTAAGAAGGGGAAGAAGGACAATAGGAACCAGAGGGCTTAAGGACACCAGGAGAACAATACCCACAGAATCAACTAAGCAAGGATCATAGGGGCTCACAGACACTGAAGTGAGAAACAAAGACCCTGTATGGGTCTGAGCTAAGTCCACTGCATATATGCTGTGTTTGTTTAGCTTAGTGTTCTTGTGGGACAACTAATAGTGGCAGTGAGGGTATCTCTGATGCCTCTGCCTACTCTTGGGGGCCCTTTTCCTCCTACTGGGTCCTACTGGGTCACCTCAACCAACCTTGATATGAGAGGTTATGCCTAGTCTTATTGTAACTTGTTATTATATGTTCAGTTGCTATCCCTGGGAGGTCTGCTGGTTTTCTTTACGGGGAGGGGATGTGCAACTGAGAGGGGCTGGGAGGAGTGGAGGTAGGAAAAACTGCTTTTGGAATGCAAAGTATGTAAAAAATTTTTAAAAAATATAATTAGGAAGGGAATAAAGTGTGCGTGCATGCACGCAAGCACACACACACACACCAATGGAGGGTGGGAAGGTGAATCAAAAGTTAATTAAGATGACATACTAGACAAAATTAATTCCATAAATGAATAAAATAATAGATACAGATCCTATCTTATCAAAATAACCTAATATATTAAAATAAGCAAACCAAAAACCTCAATCAAAAAGCCATGAGAAGCTATACCCATAAAGTCTCAATAATAAGGTTGCCTAAGTAAAACCTGTGCGATACAATCACTAGCTGACATGCTAACATTTGCAACACTAAACAGACTGGACAGGCTTTGTATCTAAACACACACACAAACATACACACATCAATTAATGCATGTTTGTATATAAATGTTGTGTGACACTAAACGGACTGAGCAGGTTTTGTATATAAACAAACACATACATACACAGTCATGAATTTGAGAGGGAATGGGATTTAGTTTTGATCCAGTCATTATCTGGCAGAATGATATATTTTTGCATATTTATAAACTTCCTGTGTTTTAGTGATATTATTTTTCTACTTTTTTTCCATTTAAAGTAGAAGTGGTGAGTGGATATCTTTACTTTTTTTCTCTTGGTGACAAAATTTCAGTCTTTCACCACTATTATACTATTAAGTGTTAACACATAAATATGAGCAAATAATTTCTGAAAAGAATGTGACGGTAAATAAGTGGGAAAAGGGACACTCCTCTGAATAACTTGTACTCAAACATTCATAGGAAGAAAAGTCAATCTCACTCTAGAGCTCATGGTAAAAATATCAAGTCAAAATGGATTACAGGTCTAAGTATAAAATGTGTAACTATAAAACCACAAGAAGAAAATACCAGAGAAGGTCTTTTACATCAACAGATATTAGGCAGAGTTCTTAATTCTTATACAGATACATCTGCACGTACAACTAAGAAACTCAACAAGAGTTCAAAGCATTTTCTCTAAGGAGCAAAACCTATATAATGAAAGCTAGAAGATGCAGTTGAAACCAAAAAAAAAAAAAGGTAAGCGCTCATGACCATTTAGAAGACTTAACATTGTTAAAAAACCCTCACTAGCCAGAGCTCTCTACAGACTCAATTCATTCACTACCAAAGGGTCAATGATCTGATTCTGTAGAAATAAAACATTCTACTCTAAAATACACATGGAATCTCAAGGGACCACCAAAATAATGAAGAAAATGTGAAAAAATACCATAAGTATTACATATTATTACTTCCTGATTTCAAAACTTACTACAAAAATTAAAAGACCATGCTACATTCCAGGTGTGGTAGCGCACCTTTAATCCCAGCACTCTGGAGGTAGAGGCAGTCAGATCTCTGTGAACTCGAGGCCAGCTTGGTCTACAGAATGAATTCTGGACAGCCAGGGCTACAAAAGAGAAATCAAGTCTCAACAAAACAACAGCATGCTACTGGCATAAAGTCAGACACATATACCACCAAGAACCCAGAAATAAACTCTAATCCATATGATAAATGATCTCTGAAGAGAGCAATAAGATCATTCAGTGCAGAAAGAACAGTCTTCAAAAAGAATGGTCCTGGGAAACTGAATAGCAACAAGTGACAGGATCCTTATCTTAAGCCATAGGCAAAAATTAACTCAAAATGGATAAAAGACCTAAACAGTGAAAAATTGATAATAGCTCAAAAGGAAACATAGAAGAAATGCTTTGTAATACTGGATTTGACAATGACTTCTTAGATATACTAAAGGAAGCATAGAAAAAGGAAGAAAAATGAGAAAACACTGTGCATTAAAGGATAACAAGAAGAATAAAAAGCAGACACAGAACAAGAGAAAATATTTACGAGTCATGTATCTGAGAAATGACTAATACCTAGATACCTGAATGGATATGTCTTTACAGAAGACACATAGCCAAATAGTATAATGAAAAAATACACAGTAGCACTTATTAGGGAAATGCAAATAAAAACTATAATGACATACATCATGCCCTGTAAATTAGCAATTATTCAAAAAGAGAAAACCCAAAAAACATGTGTTCATGAGAATTTAGAGAAATCGGAACTTTTATGCATTGCTCGTAGGAATGCAAAATGACAGTCTATATAGAGAACAGTAGGGAGGTTCATCAAAAAATTAAACACAGAATTATTGTAAGATCCAGCAATTCCACTTCTGTGTATGTACTCCAAGAACTAAAAGCAGATATCAAACATTTGTACACCAATGAGAACACCAGCATATTCACAATAACTACAACATGGAAACAATTGAAGTATCCACTGACGAATGAATTGATTAAACAAAGCAGTATGTATATACAATGGAATATTATGCAGCCTTAAAAAAGGAATGAAATTCTGATACATGCTACTATATGAACAGCAACAAAACATTTATGCTAAGTAAAATAACCCAATCGTGTAAAAGATAAACATTGCATGATTTTATTTACAAGTGGTACACAGAGTAGTCAAATTCACACAAACAAGAATGGAGGTTGCTAGAAAGCAGAAGGTAGGAGATAAAGGAAGTAGCTTTTAATGTGTATAACTTAAAAAGCTCTAGAGATGGGTGGTGGTTATAGTTACAGAATATGAATATATTTTAACACCACAGAAGTAAATACTTAAAAAATTGGTTAAAATAATAAACTTTATGTTATGTAAATTTTAGCACAATTAAAAACATACTGCTAAGAGAATGAAATGACAAGCTCCAGACTGTGAAAAATATTTGTAAAGCATACATCTGATGGAGGACTATGTTAGCATATATAAAGAAATCTCAAAAGTCATTAGGAAGGAACAGCAATCCAATGACAAAATGGTAAAGATGTGAACAGAAACTTTAGCAAATAGGATATAATGATAGCAAAAAAGCACACAGAGAGATGTTCAGCATCATTAGCCATTAAGAATAGGCACATTAAAACAACAGGGAGGCATCACTTCACACCTATCAGAACAATCACAATAAATACTGACAATACCAAATGCTGACAAAGATGTAGAGCAAGTCAACTTTCATACACCAGTGGTGGGAATGCAAAATGGTACAGCCACTCTGGAAAATGGTTTGGCAGTTGCATATAAAGTTAAATGTGCACTTACCATATGACCCAGTAATCCCACTTCTAGATATTTACCTTAGAGAAATAAAAACTTATGTTCACACAAAAACCTGCACAAGAATGTTAATATCAATATCATTCATAAAGACCATAACCTGGAAAAACCCAAATCCACTTCAATATGTGAATGGATATGGAATATCCATACAATGAAATGGAACTCCACAAAAATGAATGAGCTATTGATATAAACAACAACTTAGATGAGTCTCAAAAGCATTATGCTGAGTGAAAGAAGCCAATCTCACAAGATTACACACTGCATGATTCCATTAATATGACAATCTCTAAACGACAAAGCAGAAGTAATGAAGATACGTGATTGCCAGGAACTTGGGGGAGCGATGGGAGTGACTCTAAAGGGGAAAGAGTATGAAGAGAGTTTGCCTGAGTGATGGAGCTGCTCCTCTCTTGATCGTGGTGGTGGGTACATGAAATCTATATGATTTACAATCCACAGAATTGTACACCAAAAAAGGCCCCATGCAATTTTACTGTAATTTCATTTCAAAATGCTAGTTATGATATAATCATCATCATCATCATCATCAACAGTTATAGTGATTAATGATATTCAGAATTATTTGTGCAATGGGATCTAAAATTCAGCTAGGACAATGTAGGTCTGGTACAATAAAGCTAGAGAAGTAAAAACAAAACTAAATGTAAAATCTTGACAACTTCTACTAACTCCGCTTTAATATTTCATATCAGGACAATATGCTCTCTCTAGTTCATTTCCTATAAACATTTTCATATAGTGAATATGTAATTAAATAAGTGCTCAAGTTAGAAGTCGGGAACCCTAGTTTACATTCCTAAATCTAACACTGTAAGAAAACTCTCGACTTGCCTTTTGTGCCTAATTTTATCTTCCTCTTCATTGAGGTCATGTACTTGTCTGCACTTGTCTTTTTGTGGTATGCTGTGAAGGTTTAAAGCAAGGAGTTTCAAAGATAGGAAACAGAACAGAGACACACACCCCATCCCCCACCCCAATAGTAGGTACTGCTCTCATTTCCATGTAGTACCTCACTTACTCTTCCTAACAACTCCACACCACGGCTACTCATCTCATAGAGAAAGAGCTAAAGTATAAAAAGGTAATGTGATCAGTATTTCACAGTAAGTGAGGGAGCCAGGTTTTCCCCAGACAGTCTGCGGGGAGCCTATGTTCACACTCAGTAAGCCATGATATCTCTCCACAGAAAGCTGGTCATCTGTTCCTTCCTCCCTTACCACTGCCCTGGCAACTGTACAGTTTATCTTTAACACCATTCAATCACTCACAGGACCTTAACATATAGACACAGTTCTGATTTCTCTCCTAGGCTCCATTGCTTCATTTCTGCATCAATATCTGCATATACTAATCCCGCCATCTTCACAAATTCAGTCTGTTTAAATGAAACACATCACCCTTCTTCAGAATGTCCCCTAAAGACTTTATTTTATCTACTGTTAAGTCACACACCTCTGAAATATCTGCATTATCTCTCCATATTCCTCTCCACTTCATTCTCAGTATCAATTCACGTCATATCACATACAAATCCACCTCTCCAGTTCCACTGTCATCGTCCCAGTCTAGATGCTGATAACTCTGACTTTAATGTCATTCTTTCTTTTCTCTTTCTAATTCTTTCTCGGCCACTACATTCATCACTTCCAAATACAGCTTTTATTATCTTACTATATTCAAATGTACTAACTGAACAAACTAACTCCATATGTCTCTGTATTATCAAGCAAATATGAGCCAAGAATTCTGAGCTACCTTTTCAAGCTGATCTCTTAAAAAAATGCCCCCAATTAACAATGCTCACACCAATCACTACAACTGAAATGCTACCCCCTCTCCTGTCCACTAGATAGGGTTAAGAGTATTTCAATCTTACCTCTTCTGAGGCCTTCTTCAGTCATACCAATACAACTCTGAACTTCTGTGGCACTGAGCCAGTATATCTAGCATTACTGCTAAAGGGTACATGTGTGCATCTCCACGCCAATTAATACAAGACTAGGAACCATTTCTTAAACCCTTTCTGTGAACGTTCTACCATGCCGAGTAAACTTAACTGCTACACGAATTCTTTCTGGCTAAGACACACACTATTTATGTATATATTTTGCATTACTTTACAGTCTAGTCTAAAGACCCATCACAATCGCACTTTATTTCCCTTTCATGTGTCTAACATTATTCCCTGCCATACCCTATTTTGCTAGCACACTGAACTTCTCACCATTCCCCACATATACCAGGTCCTTTCACAGTATGGCTCCTATCCATCCACTAGCTGTAATGTCCGTTTCCCTTTACAGACAAAAGAATGCCTGTTGCTCTGTTAAGAAAGTACAAATGTCAACTTCTGACTCCCCCGACTAGATTCGGATGCTCCGTGTTCTATACTACCTTGGCATTTGATTCAACTCTTTATAACACTTTCAATGGTGTCATGCAAGTAACTATACATATACTTGTGTCTCTTATGGGACTATGTATTTCTCAAGAGTAGTAACATCTTGTCTTTCACTAATTCCCCATATCTAATGCCCTGACGTTAAATCTTTCTTTCAGTTAAAGAACACTTCAGAGCCAGTGAAGATTCCATACCTTGGTAATAAAGAGCCTTAAGGAAGGAGTGACGATCAGTTCCCTGAAATAAAGACTTTTCAATTTCCATTTCTCGCCTGGTCAGTTGTTTGCTCTTTGAAAACCTCTGTGGCAGGCAAAGGATGCGCTGGCGCTCTGAGATCCTTTCTTCAATATCTTGAAGCCGTTTCTGTATTGCTTCAGGGGTTGCCCTCAGCTTCGTCCTCTGAAACCAGGGAAATTAGATGCTTTGTATCAAAAAGAACAAAGGTAAATCTGAGCCCTTAAGAAAGAAGATGAGAAAGGCCCAGAAATTGAAAGTGTTTATGTAAGTTTTAGTTAAGGGTTAGCCAACAACTTCTCTTTAGCCATTGTTTCTACCTTAAAAACAAAAGATTCAGACTCAGCACAAGGGTTCATGAGAACTAATAGCATAAAGGTTCTCAAACACAAAACAGCAAGCACATGCTGGGGAGTTCAGCTGTGCCCGCTTGCAAATGATCACCCCAGCAGGACTGGTTGGTGGTTTCCACACCCCAGCATAGAGGCACAGACTTGGGCATGATATTTTTCTCTACAGAGAGGCTGGTGGCTATAAGAAAGCCCTCATTGGTGCTGGGTAAGACTTTCCAGGCACAGCTCACTGCAAGAGTACCCACGCTCCTGTAAGTAGTCCTTGTCCTAGGCTCTGAGAGGAAGCGCAATCCACTGGTTCTTCAGGGTGAACTTTGGCAGAACTGTGCCTTAGTTTGTCAGTTTGTTATGAGGAATCATGGGAGGAGGGGCAGATGTTGCTTAAGGCTCCTGTAGGGAAGGAATTTTATCAACACAGGCACACACATACACAAATGAAAATAAATACATCCTTTTAAGAAAATAGCTTTTTTACCTTTTCACCTGAAACATGGCTTTTCCAGATCAGTATTTCTGTTTCATTGAGCCCTAGTTCCCTGAGAGAAGCAGTTTCCTGGTCTTTTTCATGTAGTGTCTGAAACTGGGATAAAGTCATTGTCCCGGCTACTTCCTTCCCAAAGGGCTTGTACATGGTACCCGGGGCAAAGCTCTCTTTCTTAGAGACACATCTGCAAAACACAAAAGAAGAGAATAAGACCATCTTGTGGTTACGATTCACAGTAACCACATTACATATTATGATGAGGCCTCCTATTATTACAGGCCCAGAGAAGCTCATAGGCAAAGTCTCTCTTTCATTCTTTTGCCAGGGTGAAGCACCATGGCAACAGAATGGAGTTCCATGGACAGTCCACAAATATCCAAGACTAATAAATGGCTAAATTTACGTTTACTGAGTTTCCCCTATGCATTGCGTGCTGTGTTCTGTACTGAGAGATAACAGTAAAAAGAAAACAAAAATCAAGGGGCTAGAGAGATAGAAAAACAATTAAGAGTTCTTATTGCTCTTGTAGAGAACCTGAGCCAGTTCCCAGCACCCACATGGCAGCTCAGAACCACCTCCAACTCCAGTTCTAGAGGACTGAAAACCCTCTGGCCTCTGCAGGCAGTGGCACATATATGGTTCACATTAACTCCCCCAACATCACCCCCCACACACAAAAAATAAATCCTCTATAAAAAAATTATCAAAAGAACGGCCACCTATATAAAGAACAGCAGAAGGGAGGCAACTAAATAGGAAATGACCATATAGAATTATATATGCTATGTTAGGGGAAATACAGGGTATTCTATGAGGATACAGTAAAAGTACTTGGTCCTGGATTAGGAAGATACAGGAAGTTTCCTACAAAAAGACACAAAAGTAAAATCTGACCTGCATAAAGAGGTCTTCTTAAGAAAGAGGCTGTGTGAGAGTGGAGGGCTCCTACCAGGCTTTAAGACTGATGTATAACCTGCAGGTGATGGTCTATTATAACCTCCCTGTTTACAAATCGATACTCACTCTTCAATGGAGACAGAGGTATCAAGTTGATGTTGAAGGAGGCTCTTCAGCTGCCTCTCACCTTCTGTTTCCAACTCCTCCAGGACATGCTCTTCATTCTTCACACAGCTATTTATCCTGGAGCAGATGTGAAACACACACACACACACACACACACACACGGAAAGTAGAAGAGACATGTAATCCGAAATATATTCTCTTCATCTATATTACCTATCAGTGATCCCTTTGTTCAAAGATATTTTTTCACCATTCCACCGCCCTGAGTATTCATTACACAAACATTTACTAAATGCCTATGGACACAACATGTATTGCGCTAGCTCCTTGTACTGGCTTGTTTTATGTCAAATAACACAAGCCAGAGTCATTTTGGAAGAGGGAACTTCAATTGAGAGAATGCCCCCAACCAAACTGGCCTACAGGCAAAGCCTATGGTGTACTTTCTTGATTGATAATTGACATGTGAGGGCCACATGGTGTGTGGTATCAGCCCTGGATAGGTAGTCTGAGATCTGTCAGCTAGAATAAACCCTTGCCTCCCCAAGTTGCTTTTGTGTCACAGCAGAGAAAACTTAACTAAGACACTACTTGTGGAAATGAAAGCTATTCCAAGCACAGTTTTGATCAAGGAATTTGTAATATATTTAGGGAGAAGATATACGTACTCTTGTGCTGTGTACACGCTCATACAAAGGGAAGGAAGCTGAATAAACAATGATAGAGAAACATGTCCAAATTAGTGAAAGTTTGCAGGAGAAAGGGATAAATGGGAGCTAAAATGGAAAAGAAGATTTCAGAAAGGTATTCTTAAATTGGTGCTCGAAAGATGGGGTGTGACAAAGGAAAGGTGAAATGGGAAGTCAAATATGAAAAGACAAAAACACATACTGTGGCAGAATGGAATTCAGGCTTTGAACAGCCTTAACTACTGAACTAGGGACTCTGGGCCAGACCTACCTGAGCACGTAGGTATTAGAAAACAATTTAGCAAGCCATTAGGTGTCAAAGAGTAAGCAGTGTTTAGGCCATGTGGACTGGAAGGTAAACTAGAATAACTAGTTAGGAAACTATTGAGGTAAACGGCAATGAAGTTCCAGACTAGGGCAGTAACAGCAGAAATACAAAGGAGGGATTACATGAGAGAAGTCTTCTGAGGGATGATGGTAAGAAAGTAGAACAAATCAATAAATAATAAATAATAACACCCAAAGTCCAAACTCTTGGTATGGTACAAATTTCAAACTGTTGCTACAATTTGACAGAATGTTGGTAGCAATAAAGGAAAAGAGCTCCAGACAGAATAAACGCCTAGGACAGGGAAAATCAGTGTCATTAATACCCATACTGAGTTGTCCAACTCTTACGACTCTGAAATGCAGCATTAAGCATACTTCCAAGACACAGAGTCTGAGGCAACAACAAAAATGACTGGCTACAGGCAGGACAGTCTGCAGTTGAACATACAGAGACAGGGATTTTTTTTCCCCAGACAAGGTTTCTCTGTGTGTCTCTGGCTGTCCTGGAACTCAGTGTGTACACCAGGCTGGCCTTGAACTCACAGAGATATCAAGTATCAAGAAATAACACAAACATTTAACATGTAATAATAGATTAGAAAAAACAAACACAAAATGTGTCAAATCCATGAGAAAAATAAATACTCTATTTCTTACAAAACATAAATATTGTATTTCTTATGAAATGGACATTGTCTACTGGGGTTTATTATAAAGTATAGGAAAATCCCTGTAATTATGATTCCTATAATGACCTGGACTTATATTTAAAAATTTTAGAATAACTTACTTTGGCACTAACGCTAAAAAAAAAAAACCTCTTTAAGCCTTTCTATCTTTATTACTTTGAATCCCAGTTATTGCTAAATTTAATTTTTAAAAATGAATAAGCATATCAACACATATGAATCTATAGAAAAATACTGTTTTAGAAAAAGCTTGCTACAGAAAAAGAAAGACAGTATGTCCCCATTTACATAAGGCTAAATAAAACCAGATGAAACTAGGAATATTTTGTTCAGGTTAAACTCATATGTGGTAAATATATCAAGAAAGAAAAACAAAAAAGGCAAGGGAGTGTCTGGCAATGGTGGTGCACACCTTTAGTCCCAGCACTCAGGAGGCAGAGGCAGGCATGGATCTCTGTGAGTTCGAGGCCAGCCTGGTGTACAAGAGCTAGTTCCAGGGCAGGCTCCAAAGCTACAGAGAAACCCTGTCTCAAAAAACAAAACAAGGCAAGGGAGTAATTGGTGCAAAACCCTAGCTAGAAGAGGGAAACAATCAGGGGAGAAGCAGGGAGACTGACTTAAGGTATGTATGGGGGATGACGTCCTACAGCTTACACCTGTACAGGGTACAGCCCTTTATAACTATTCTTTAAGATATACGTTAGATCCATTATTTTTCAAGTAGGAGGTATGTCATCAAAAAATAGTTAAAATGTGATTTTAACTTAGGAAGAGAAATCAATAACTTAAAGAAAAATTCAGGAAACTATGAAAGCAGAAGGTACTCCAAAAGGGGTTAGGTGTGCCACACCGTCCCAGAGTGAAGACTCTCCTGCAGAGTGAATCTTCTAAAACTACAGTGGACTCTGAAGGATTCCTGTCCTGTTAGTAACTGTGAAGCTTGGGATCTCAAGGAAGACCCTTTCAGGTTCAAAGGGCCATTTCCTGCAGAACCGGTAGGGGAAACTGCCCTGCAGCAATACCTTCCTTCTCCCAAAACACATTGAGCCGGTTTCGTGCTGAATTTGGAGAAACAAACTATCAGTCTCTAACTTTACGATTCGAAAACAAAAGGCCCTGTGTGGCCGACCCACTATGTCTTTAAAATCCAGACAATGTAAGCGCCCACCCTGAGACCCTCCGGAGGGTGAGACCTAGGAAGGACGGGCCAGGAAGGGGCTGACTCCCACGTCTCCAGAGCTAGGAATGTGTTAGCCAGGGAAGCTTCAGAGGCCTCTGCCCAGAGGGAAGTAATCCTACATATCCGCCCGGCCGCGGCCCTTCCAGAGCTTCACCCAATAGACCGGCCCGGCCGGCCTTCCCTCCTCCCTTCTCCTTTGTCTTCTCGCTAGAAAGAACCCGCCCCTCGAGAACCTGACACATTCCAAACGAAAGGTAAAGGCCATTTTCAAAAAGTAAAAGATAAAAGTTGCCCACTGCAACTCGGACATGCCCTTACCTCTTCATGTTTCCGCAGGCCCCTATCACTAACTTGGGCAAACAGGTCCCAGACCTCAACTCCCAGAAATCTATGCGGCAGACTCGAAGGTGATGGAGGTGGAGCGAGGGACTCTGGGAATTGTAGTAGCACAGAACTATGTGGCGATGGGAAGAGAAAGCAGGTATTGGGTGATCTGTATAGTGTAAATTAAAAATTTTTAGTACAGGTTAAAGATAACAACCAAAATATACGCTTCATGAACCTGGAATTCACCCAGGTTGGCTTCTTGACTCTTCGAGTATCAATAAATTTCTCTAATCACCTTCGAATTTGTTCTTTTCAGCAAGGCTTGTCTTTCAAGGATTTATCTGACCTACTTGTTCCCAGTCAAGCTATGGTCTGACCACATCACTTGCACTAATGCTTTTCTCTTATCCGTAACAGATCCTTCTGAATTCCCTTAGTTCAAAGTCAGAGTCAGTAGGCACCTAGACTTCTGAATAGCTTATTGATAAATATATTGAATAAAGAGTTAGATATAGTGGGAGCTGGAGAGAGAGGGCACTTGTTTCTCTTTCAGAGAACCCGAGTTCAGTTCCCACACAGCAGCTCACAGTTGGCAACCTCAGTTCCAAGGATCTGATGCCTGTTTCTGGGGTACCAGATACACATGTGGTACACACAGATACAGGCAGACAAAACATGCATACACAGAACATAATTATTTAAAATCACATATAGGAAAGTGTTTAAAAGCATTGGTTCAAGACCACTTTCAAAACTAGCAACATCAATAACAAAAACAATAAAAGCATGTGTTCTTAATGGCCAAAAAAGGAAATGGAAATATCCCTAAACATATGGAAAGAAGGATGTTAATTTATAAGGAGGAAATTTCAAGCTACATTACATAATTTAAGGCCAGCCAGGTCTTCATAGAGACTCTGAAAAAAAATCAATAAAAATAAACAAAAGTAAAATATAAAACAAAGTGCAGTGACCACCTGTACTCCTCCAAACTACCAAGGCCATAAACAAATGAGAATTCTGAGCCCCTGTCATGCTTATGAGGGAACAAGGGAAAGATGATTTCTAAATGTGCTGTAGAATTCTGAAACAGGAAGAGGACACCAGACAAATGTAAAGAAACTACACTTTCTGTATGTGACAAAGACACTCTATTGTGCAAAGTGTTAACACGAAGTAAAATTGAACGGAAATATATGAAACAGTAGAGTATGAAGCTTTTATGTAAATCTAAAACTATTCAAAGAATAGAAAATTTTAAAGTATCCTAAATAGCACTTTTTTTTTACTTACTACATAGGAAAAGATTTAAAAATGGCAATACATTTGTTGACATTCTGGTGAAATGGGCACTCTCAAATATTGCTGGTAGGAGGAAAAATCGGTACAACCTCTGCTAAGAGCAACTTGATGTACCTATTGAAATTTAGATGCACACGTCCTTTAAAGCAGCAACTTAACACATCTGTAAATGTAAATTGTCAGTACAATAAATACTCATCTATGTGCATTGCTGTTCAATGCTCTCTGTGGCAGAATACTGGGAAAAACAAATATTTAAATACATTTAATGAAATCTGTATAATGACGAAGAAGGGATAAAGTCCTCAGGATTATTACTGTCTTGAAAATATAGCTAGTGAACTGGCAAGTTTCAGAATACCATATAGTATGCTTATGTTTGTGTAAAAGGTGGAATATGTATATGCCTGCATATGCATGAAATAGTTTTGTGAGAATGGATGACAGGGAATGCCTCCAATTAACAGAACTAACTGATTGAAGGACAAAAACAGAAAGAAAAAAAATTCAGCTAAGTTATTCATATGTTTTTGTCCTATAGAAATTTTTGTCCTTATATTGAGACAGGATTTTGTATGAAGCTCAAATTGGCCATTAACTTGTGATCTTCCTGCCTGAGTCTTCCAAATACTGGGAGTACAGATGTGTGCCAAGCATGCCCTTATAGCCTTTGAGTTTTTTGTTTGTTTGGTTGGTTGGTTTGGTTTTTAGAGGCAGGATTTCTCTGTGTAACAGCTCTGACAGTCCTGGAACTCTTGTTGTAGACAGGCTGGCTTCATTCACACCCACAGAGATCCACTTGCTTCTGCTGCCTAAATGCTGGGATTAAAGGCCTGTGCTACCACTGCCCCTGTCCTTTGAATTTTATTTTTATCATTATTATTATTTGCTGGTTTTCAAGACAGGGTTTCTCTGCAGCTTTGGGGCCTGTCCTAGAACTAGCTCTGTGGACCAGGCTGGCCTCAAACTCACAGAGATCCGCTTGCCTCTGCCTCCCGAGTGCTGGGAATAAAGGCATGCAATAACTGTATGACTGTCTCACATAGTGTCCTGGGTGGCTTTATGTGTCAACTTGACACATGCTATAGAGTCATCAGAGGAAGGCATCCCAGTTGAGGAAATGCCTCCTTGAGATCTAGCTGTAATGCATTTTCTCATTTAGTGATCAGTGGGGGAGGGCCCAGCCCATGGTGGGTGGTGCCATTTCTGGGCTGGCAGTCCTGGGTTCTATAAGATGGTGGGTTGAGCAAACCATGGGAAGCAAGTCAGTAAGCAGCACTCCTCCATGGTCTCTGCATCAGCTCCTGCCTCTGGGATCCTGGCGGGTTTGAGTTCCAGTTCTGACTTTCTTCAGTGATGAACATCAATGCTGAAGTATAAACCAAATAGACCCTTTCCTCCCCAACTTGCTTTTTTATTGTGGGATTTCGATTCCTTTAGCCACTTTTGGGAATTACAAACCCTATGGCATGGTTTTGTCTGTGGACTTGACAAGCTGGGGGTGGGGGGTGGGGGTCTCTTGAGCTCTTGTTTTCAGGCTCCCTTGGGTAATGAAGACCGGGTCAGGCGGCATGAAGTGGCATGTGATCAGTCCCCAGCTTCATGAGTCTATTTTCCCCAAAGCACCCTTTAATATATATATATATATATATATATAATTTACACACACATACATACATACATACACACATACATGTGTGTGTGTGTGTGTGTGTGTGTGTGTGTGTGTGTGTGTGTGTATGTATCTTTGTGGTTCACAATATGCTTTTTGGCCGTGGTATTTCATTGCAGCAATAAACACCCTAACTAAGACACCTAGTTGATCATTTTAATTAAATTAAATGGAATCCTTCTTATATTAAAAAGCCAGGTGAGAAAAAAAAATCTTGTAGACTTTGGGGTTCACACTACTTGGGTTTAGATTCAAGTTCTCAGTTTCTTTAAATTTCTTTAATTTGTTTAATTCAGCTCTATCTTATGTAAAATAATGAGAACCACAGTGGTTCTCAACCTGTGTGACAGGGTCACATATTAGCTATTTACATTACACTTCATAACAGTAGTAAAATTAGTTATGGAGTAGCAATGAAATAATTTTGTGGTTGGGGGTCATCACAACATGAGGAACTGTATTAAAGGGATGCAGCAGAAGGAGGTTTGAAAACCACTGCTTCAGAGAAATAGGCAACTGTGAAGCTTTATGTAAAATAGTACTTTTGTGTGATTTTAAAGCTTTGCATGACAGGGTGTTTATCTATGAGTAAATATTATAAGGTTACCCAGTAAGTTCAGACTTGCTCAAAGTCCTTGATACTGTCATGTTCACGTCAGCAAAAGACCAAAGAGCGGCGACGGAAACAAAACAGAAGCTGTATATAACTTTGCACTTCTTGAGAACTTCTAGTAGATTTAAAATATCATGGCAGGTATTAAAGTAATTCAAAATCTACCAAATGCAAACCCCAGTGCTCTAGAAGCACCCTGGGAAATAAATGCAAATACAACGTACATCGCTTTGTAGCTCTGACATCGAATAAAGATTGCATATAAGTATAAACAAAATGTGGGGCACATCTCTGAGTTAGGCAGATTCTTTAAGGAGGTGGGGCTTAACTCTGGCATTTAGCCACACTGTCTCCCTGACAAATCCATCAATGGGGAAATGGAAAAACATACCAAGGTTGTTAGTGGGCTTGACTTCTTGGAAGGGTGGAGCATTTCACCATCACAGTAAATCTGTCTAGCTCTAAAACAGAATGTACAGATACCGGAGGGGCACATACTACAAAGCAAATCTACTATGACGGGGTCTGGGTGGAGAAAGATTGTTACGTGGCTGCTGTGGAATTGCAAGTGGAACGCGAGGTTGCGAAAAGTTTTCTATGTATATGTTTATAACTGCAGCCAACCCAAGTGGTAGTACCAAGGGATGTCTGGAAAACTGCACTGGGATTCCATTGCACTTCTAGCTCTGCCAAAAGAAGATGTACTACCTATTTCATTTTCACAGCACCAAGCTACTTTGAGAGGAAGATGGGCATCGAAGAGTCTCCTTAGCCATTTGGGCAAGAAAGTGCTCTTGCCTGGACTGCTTCACTGGACATGCAGTACCCACAGAGAGATGACTGCTAAACTTGCCTAAAGCTTCATAAAAAAGTCTGCTGGATACTATGGCCCTGTAGGCTAAAGATGGATGCCCCAATGGTACAGAAGAACTTGGGGTAAATGTTCAGGCAACGAGATGTCTCTGTCAATTCTAGAGTTTTGGAAGTTTATAATGCACTTCCTCTTTACTTAGGTAATATTATATCCTTCTGGAGTCTTTGATGGAGTTAAAGAATAGATAGATAGTTATAGCTATAGTTTTTCTTAGTTATGATAAAAGATAGGTACAAATATTGTAACTGTAATTCTTGCTTGATAACTGTTTCGTTATATGTAATTTTACTATGTTAAAGTTAAAGCCTTCCTTTTTGTTTAAACAGAAAAAGGGACATGGTATAGGAGTTCCTCCTGTTTGCGTGTTGCTTTCATTGGTTAATGAATAAAGAAACTGCCTTGGCCTAGTTGATAGGGCGGAACTTAGGTAGGTGGAGAAAACAAGACTGGGAGGAAGAAGGGCAGAGAGAGAATAGCCATGGATCCTCTGCCTCATGTGGCAATACATAGATTAATAGAAATGGGCTAAATCAAGATGTAAGAGTTAGCCAATAAGAACTTAGAGCTAGTGGGCTAGGCAGTGTTTAAATTAATACAGTTTCTGTGTGGTTATTTCGGG